TGGATAAAAGGCGTTTCTCTTCTTTTTCAAGTTTGACTTGTCCCTAGTAGAAATGAACATTTCTTCTATTGATAGACCCGTTTTTTAAACGAAACGTTGGGTTGTCTTTGATTCTCGTTACCAATATCCAAAAGGAAGCCTCTACTAGTGTACCCATCAGGTTATATTTCGCAAGAGTCTTCTTCCAAGTGCCTAACGCAAGAAACTTTTGTATAGTGACTCACTTATTCAACGAGCTGATGGTTGAGAATGGAAGAAGAATAGGACTCAACTGGACAAATCGTTCTTTGAATTTGCATAGCTTTTAAAAGTTTTACTTTTTTATATTGAAAGAGATAATAGCCCTCTTGGGGTTATATCGTTCCTAAAGCAGCTTTGTACTTTTTATAGTTTGCTTTCTTGTATATCTTTAAAAGTTGTGGTTTTTACAAAGTTTATCGTACAAGAGGATGCAACAAAAGCCTTTAAATCTAAACAGTCATGTTTACCTTCAAAAACACCTCAAATGTATAATCGACTATTGAGGAGAAAGAATTCAACTATGATTCAAATGTGAGAAACGAGAAAAGAATCGATAGAATAGACTCAATTCGATTGAATTGAATTTTTCTTGAAAATATCTTTTCTCCTCTTAACAGAATTCACAGTATCAAATGCCACTATTTTCAGAGGAGAAAGAAACAGGAGTTATTGACTCTTACAGAAATTGAGTATTGATGATACACTTGTGTGAGTCAATGTTGTTTCTGAGATTTGATAAAACCACGAGATATTTTGGATCCTTCTTTGTACATTTATTTTGCTTTTGTCTTTTGCTATCATCAACTTTTGTAGCTTTAGTGATAAGCTGCTACTTGTCATGATATCGTGAGAAAGGAATTTGATGATTGCTGAGAATAAAGCAGTGCTGTGCTTGCGGGTTTCTGCATTTCTACTAAATAATAATATTTCAACTGGAGCTTTTGAATAGACTACAAAAGAGAATGACTTGGTTCATACTCTAGTTCCGTGTTTCGAAATGAAGCAAAAGTGACGAAAAAACTATTCCATAAAATACAGAAAATCTAAAGAGACGTCTATGGAACAAATTCTTCATGAACAATCTATATTGCTCGGAACTCTCATGACTACTCTCGAAAATTCTGAAAGAAACTTTCTTATCTATGTGAGAATGGGCCATGTTCAATAGCTTTATACTCTCAAAGAGCATAAAAAACTTGTGAAATAAACATTGGCTTCCTTCTAATCCTTCTTGTACCCTATGAGAGTTGCCATTATATTAGCATACGAGAATAAGAATATCGATAGTTGAAAAAGCCATATTGATCGTTTTTCCATAGTTCTAGTCATCTCAGTCCAAGCCATAAAGGGTATGACATAGTCATCAGTTGATAAAGAGAAGAAGTTGGATTGGTATCCTTTACTGTTTTCCTTGTTGTTGTTGTGACCGACAAACAGTCAATTGTTCATTTATTTATATTTGTACTCCGAAATAAACAGAAGGTTGTTTCATTTCACTTTGGCGATGGCGAGTTTGGATGACAAGTGGAAAGCTGTGGACAACTTTGAGTCTGTTGTGGTAGTAGATCGTGAAAGAGATGTTGTTCGAGTGACAAAAGAACTGTATGATCTTCATAGCAACAGAGAACAACTCAGGGGTGTAACAAGTAGTTGCAACTATCGCTTGACCATACCATTTGCCCCCCATCATTTTGGCTCTGGCAAAACGACCTTTGCCCGAACTTATTTGGAGTTGGTGCAAAGGTTTGGTGAAACTTTTCTGTCGAAATTTGCTTCGGACCCTTTGAGAAGAACCTTTTTGGAGAAGCTGAAAAGGGCTTCGTTGCTTTATGTGGATTTGAGGAAGTTGAAGCCAACTCGACCCATCGAGGAAAAACGCAACCTAAAGTGGGCAGTCTACTATTTATTGTACCGATCAGCTTGTAATCAGATGGGTCTACCGTTTATGAAGCCTGATGAAGCCTACAGACACATTCCTCCCTATCCAAGCTTTCTAATTCCAGAGCTACGGAAGACTTTGGGCATTCCTTCCGATCAATATCTTTTGGTGGCATTTGATGAAATTGGTGTCCTTGACGAAAGTCTCGACGAATTTCATTTCAAGAGAACCCATGACGGTAGAGTTCGACCATACAACGACTTTTTCGGTATCATTAGTCAATTGTGCAAAGAACCCGACTTGTTTTTTATAGTTGTTGGGAAAAGCAAGGGTTTAAGTATTAAGAATGATGTGGCTTTTGGGCTATCGAGAGTTATACTACATTTTATCCCTTTATCACCTTTGGACGCTTCCAGTATCGTTGAATTCCTTGAAAGGAGTCTTCTAAAGACACCTACTCAAGAACCGGTTTGTAATGTCTTATGTAGTTCTTCATTTTCAGTAAATGAATTGGCAGATTCGTTATTGGAATGTACAGGTGGAGTTCCTGGTTTGTTGACTCGTGCAGTAAATATGCTTTTGAATTATATAGTAGCAAGAAATCAGCCTTTCATATCGAAAGAAGAATGTTTGACATGTATGAATGACTACGATTTCCGAAGAATTTGTGCTGAACCATTTGTGGAACGAATATTGAATTTGGACGAAGATAGAAAAAGTGTTTTTGATTTACTTTTAATGATGGCTCTTTATCGTATACCGTTTCAAGTAGATGACATATTGTCCTCGGAGTCTTATCTATTTGATGCAGTCACTGAAATGGGATTCTATCGATATCCTATTGACGAGAATACTTTCCAAATTCTTATTCCAAAAGTATTTGTTGGAATCTTCAAGAAGGACCCTTCCATCTCTTCTTTGGAAAAGATACTTCTTGGATCACTTGATGTCGAACCAGTAGATTGTTTCTTTTATTCAAAGTGTCGTGTATTTGAAGGAATTGTTGCTTTACGGCTAGTTTTGATGTTGTCTTCAAAGAATCGAAATGAGTTGAGGGAATTGTTGTGTCAATTGTCTCCGATATGGAAACAAATGAAACTTCCAATGAGTACAATATCACCTATTCACTATATGAAGTCTGTTGTTAGTTCTAGAGAAACAAGAAGTGAATCGAACAAGAGTCGAAGAACTTTTGCCAATACTGAATGGAATAAGATTATTCGAGAGACACTTTATTTAGAGACTGTTTACATTCCTTTGGACGCTACTTCTCATAGTCCTGATATTATATTCAAATTACAATCTCCTGTGGAACCCAAAGTTCTTACTGTTGGAGTTGCATGTAAAGGACGTTGGAAGTCGGAAGGAATTGGCTGGTCAGATATTATAGATGAAGCCAAGAAATTTTTAGATCCTTTATATGATCAAGTCTTATCCAGTGCAATGGATTATCATCATTGTATGCTTATTATTGTTAGTACAAAGTTATCATTGAATGTTTCTAATGAGTTGGGTAATCAGAGTCGTTGTTACTCCAGTGGAATGTTCATTGGAAATGATTCTTTCAAAGTACCTGATAATTGTGAACTTGTTATTCTTTGTGAAAGAGATATGGAAATGCTGATTGACAAAGAAATATTGAATGGACTTGAAAGAGCATTTCATGTTTCTCATAATCCTACTTTTTGGGATTTTGGATTAGATTTACTTAATAGAATCCGTAACAGTTTCTTAAGTTGGCAATAGATTCTAACTCAGTCCTTCCCTTTGTGATTTGTTTTGAAGAGCAAGTAAACTTTTTTTTGTATGTTTGAAACTCGGTTACAACTTATTTGCTTTCACTCTGAGGATTATTGTCTTAATATGATACTAACCACGAAAATCAAAATAAGCCTATTGTTGTAAAAGTCACTGTCACAGTTTGACAGGTCTTGTTTGCTTCTTGTTACTTCTCAGGAGAGTGTCTCAAAGTGTTGATAAATGGGTTTTATACAAGGTATTGTATTCGTCATAGACTTTATTTATAGTTCGCCTCAAGTTGAAGGTTCCTCAGCTGGTCTATTTTCTAATAGCTCAGAGAAGTTGTTTTTATATACAATTGCACAGAAACCAATATCCACTCTTTATTACAAAAAATGAAAAAGATAGTTTTTATCTAAAAGGCAAATCATGTTCTTATCAAGACTTGTCCTAAGCTTCGAAAGACTTTCGTCGCTCTCAAGAGTTTGAGAGCATTGGACTGTTGGAAGAAGATTGATCGATCATTGTTGTATTTTACTGTCGCATAGTTTACTTCATAGCTTACGATATGTCTAGTGAGCTTGAAGCAGAAAGCGTGTATGACATGGTTGTAGTAGACCGAGAACAAGATGTTGGTGTAGTAACACTGCAGTTATTTAGGCTATACACTCTACGTAAACTTGGTCGCCATTTCAAACCAGTCATACCCTTTGGTCCCCACCTCTTCGGAAGTGGAAAGACAAAATTCGTACAAAATTACTTGGAACTGGTGAATAATATGGGTGAAAGTGCACTGATAGGTCTCGATTACGTTGGTGAGTCTGAGAAGGCCAACCGAAGAGGTTTCCTGGAGAAGCTGAAAAGGGCTTCATTGCTCTTTGTGGATTTGAAGGAGTTGGAGCCCACAGAACCGAAAGAACGCAACCTAAAGTGGGCAGTGTACTATTTGTTAATAAAGGCTGCCTGCTCTCAAGTTGGCGCGGAAATTTTGCGAAAGAAAGAAGCCTTCGAAATAGTGGATATGGAACCCTCCAACCTAGTTCCACTCTTACGAGATATACTAAGGATTCCTTCCGATCAATATCTCCTTGTGGCATTTGACGAAGTTGGTGTGTTTGATACAAAGGGAACCTTTTTTGAACTGGAGAAGAATGACAAAGGTGTGGTTCGACCTTACAACGACTTTTTCGGTATCATTAGTCAATTGTGCAAAGAACCCGACTTGTTTTTTATAGTTGTTGGGAAAAGTGAAGGCTTAAATATATACAATTACGTAGCTTCAGTCTCAAGGGTTCAGTTAGTATTTATTCCTCTTTCGCCGCTTGAGAAACATAGTATCGTGGAACATTTGGAGAAAAGTTCTTCCTTTTTATTCCCTGGGAGCCCAAAGGTTTCAGAAATTCTTTGTCACGAAGACTTCTCAACTAGTGAACTTGCAGAATTGTTGTTGGAATTGACTGGTGGTGTTCCTGGTTTACTTGTTCGAGCAATCAGTTACCTTTTGCTGTATAAATTATCCAACAACAATTTCTTATTATCTAAGGAAACCTTCTTGATCATAATGAATAGCTTTCTAGTAACAAATTATTGTGTTGCGCCATTCTTACCTCGTCTGATAAGTCTCAGTGAGCAGCGTAAGCGCTTGTTAAGAATGCTTACGTTATTATCTTTGTATCGTATTCGATTTGATTTTGATGAAACTGTGCAAGTAAGCTCAAATTCTGATGTGTTTTTGTTTGACCTAGTTACAGATATGTGTCTCTATCGTCGATTGGTTATAGAACCAGACCACAACGAACGCTATGAAGTGTTGATTCCCAAGTTACTGATTGAATATATTGACCAAGGCTTAAAGGATGATCGTTTAGAATGGTTACTTTTTACAAACTCTCAAGTCTCAATCTGTTGAATTCTTTTATGAGTCGAAATGTCGAATTTTTGAAGGTCTTATTGCTACACTGTTTTATTTACATTTTTCTCGGCATCCTACAAACAGCTCAATGTTTTCTACTCTTGGTCAATTGTCTCGTGTTTGGAATGAAATGAATTTCCAATTTTCTTCCGAATCTGCTGCTTATTATATGAAATCTATACATTATACCAGAGCTGTATCAGGAACAGAGAGAATGACATTTGGAAGCAATGAATGGGAAAGGATAGTGGAAGAAATGTTAGAATTTGAAAAGATATATATTCCATTTCATTCAACATCCTATAGTCCAGATATATTATTCAAGTTGCATGGAAGAACGAATGAGAAGAACTTGATGATGTGGGTATTGCTTGTAAAGGCCGATGGAGTCGTAATGGTATTCGATGGAATGAAATTTTGGAAGAAGCTCACAAGTTTTTAAAACCAGTTCATGATCAAGTATTGACTAGTCATTCTACATGGCATTGTATGTTGATTATTATGAGTACTCAGTTAGCAACCAACGTATCTGAGGACTTGAATTATTCTAGTCGTTGTTATTCTTTTGGCGATAGTGTTGGAGAATTCTTGATTCCTCACAACTGTGAATTGGTTATTCTTTCTGAAGCTGATGTAGAAAACGTTATTGGCAAAGACATTTTATCGAATTTAAGGAACGCTTTCAAGTCTGTGGATAATCCACATTCGAGAAACATTGGCATTCAACCCTACAAAC